CTGCAAGTGGATCTCCAGTTTTGCCAGGACCATTTATTAAACAAACATTCTCTTCCCCATTTAATGGATTTCAGCCCTTTGTCAAAGATCAGCTGACCATAGTTTGATGGATCTATTTCTGGGTTCTCAGTAATATTCCATTAGTTTATGTGTCTGTCATTGTACCAGTACCAGGCAGTTTTGACTACTATGGCTGTACAGTAGATTTTGAGATCTGGCAGTATGAGACCTCCTACTTTGTTCTTCTTCAATAGTGCTTTGCTTATCTGGGGTTTCTTTCCTTTCCATATAAAGTTAGTGATTGGTTTTTCCATATCCTTAAAAAATGTTGATGGGATTTAGATTGGAATTGCATTGAATGCATAAATTGCTTTGGGTAGAACTGACATTTTCAGAATGTTCAGTCTTCCTATCCACAAGCATGGAATGTTCTTCCATTTGTGTAGATCTCTTACGGTTTCTTGAAGTAGTTTTTTATAGTTTTCTTTGTACAGGTCTTTTGTGTCCCTGGTAAGATTTATTCCCAGGTATTTTATTTTTTTTGTTAGCTATTGTAAATGCTATTGATTTCCTTATTTCTTTTTCAGCAATCTCTTTGCTGGTGTAGCGGAATCCAGCTCATTTTTGGATGTTCATCTTGTATCCTGCCACGATGCTCAATCTCTCAATTAGTTCCAATAGTATTTTGACAGAGTCTCTTGGGTTTTCTAGGTATAGGATCATATCATCAGCAAATAGGGATAGTTTGACTTTTTCCTTACCAATTTGGATGCCTTTAATTTCCTTTTCTTGCCTTGTGGCCCTGGCTAGGACTTCCAGTACAGTGTTGAATAGAAGTGGTGATAGAGGGCATCCTTGTCTGGTTCCTGTTCACAAGAGGAATGGTTTCAGTCTCTCTCCATTAAGAATAATGTTAGCTGTTGGTTTTGCATAGATGCCCGTTATAATGTTGAGGAATGTCCCTTCTATTTCTGTTTTGCTGAGACTTTTGATCAAGACTGGGTGTTGGATTTTATCAAATGCCTTTTCTGCAATAATGAATAAATTTTAAATGAATGAATGATGAAGGAATCCTGTAGAAAAGAGGACTCTGGGGGACATTGTGCTTTTCAAATAGTTACAGGACAGTAAGAGGCATACTTTGTTTTATCTGGCCTCAAGGGGAAGAACAAGAATGGAGGGAAGCTCATGGAGACAGATTTCAGGTGCATTATATAAAGCTGTGCCCAGTAGAGTTGCTGATAGTGTGGAGTGAGCTCTTTAAGGAGGTAGTGAATGCCACTCTTCAGTGGGATTTTCAAACATTGCTTGCATCAGATGACTTTCTAATCAAATATGGCTTCTTACTCTGAAAGCAGAATGTAGTTATGAATAATACATGTTTAGAATCAAGGTGGCATGTTTCCAGATGCATACAAAATAAATTATTTTTTTTTCCTCCTTAGCCCAAGGTTTATTAATATTTGCAGAGTTGATATCTGCAGTTAAGAGGACGTTGGCTCGTCTCCTGGTCATCGTTGTGAGCTTGGGTTATGGCATTGTGAAGTAAGTATCAGTGTTTTGAAAAGGCATCGAGTCTCCAGTCTTTTTACTCAGTCCATCTACGTTATGGCCTCGAATCAGAAACTTCTCAATATCGTAAAACAAATTCTGTAGATAATACAAATCTACAAGAACATGTTTTTAAAGTATTTTGATACTGTGGCTATTTTGTAACATCCTGAAATAAAGATCCTGCGTTTGAATTCCATTAACTTTTATAGTTAGGTGAATTAATTCATTGGTAAGAAAAATGGGAAATCTAAAATGATTCTTGAAACTCAAATGATTTTCTCTTTCCTAGGTAGTACAGGTATGTTTTTATATTTGCATTTGAGTGTTGTAAAAGATACTATTGTTAGGTGCTGTCAAGTTGGTTCCAAGTCATAGCAGCCCTGTGTACAACATAGTGAAACACTACCTAATCCTATAGCCATCCTCACAATCCTTGCTATGTTGGATTGAGCCCATTATTGCAGCCACTGTGTCAGTCCACCTCATTTAGGGTCTTCCTCTTTTTCGCTGACCCTCCACTTTACTGAACATGATGTGCTCCAGGGACTAGTCCCTGAAAACGTGTCCAAAGTACTCAAGAGGAAGTCTCACCATCCTTGCTTCCAAGAAGCATTCTGGCTGTACTTCTTCCAAGACAGATTTGTTCATTTTGCTGGCAGTCCATGGTATATTTAATACTCTTCACCAACACCATCATTCAAAGGCATCAATAATTTTTCGATATTCCTTATTCACTGTCCAGCTTTCATGTACGAGATGTTGAAAATGCCATGGCATAGATCAGGCACACCTTAGTCTTCCAAGTGACATCTTTGCTTTTTTTAACACTTGTTTAAGAGGTCTTTTGCAGCAGATTTGCCTAATATAGTACGTTGTTTGATTTCTTGACTGCTGCTTCCATGGGCATTGATTGTGGACCCACGTAAAACGATATCCTTGACAACTTCAATATTTTCTCCATTTCTCATGATGTTGCTTATTGATCCATTTGTGAGTATTTTTGTTTTCTTAACGTTGTAAGAGATAGTAAGGTTAAATATAGTCAGAAAAATCTGACTCAAACCCTGCTGTCCCCTAAGGACCCTATTTCTATTGACCTTCTTAGAGAAATCTATCAGAAATCTATGAGCCACTGGGCTTGAATATGGGAGGACTTGTCCTCTTATATTCTCTTTGGTTTTTACAGACCATTGTTCTTCCTTCTTCCCTAAAACATTCTCATTGCCAGAAGCTCAAGCTGTCGGACAGGATCACCTACTATATCTTAGTGCAAGTCAACTTCTGGATTTCTTTCCTCCTCCCTTTACTCTCTTAGCACTTACTTCACTGTCTTTCTCTCCAACATTTGGTCTGTCAGAATTCTCAGAGATTTCAGTGTCCATATGGGTGATCCTTTCAAAGTTGATCACTTTCTTACACCTACTGATCTTGCCCTTCACCTGATCTCAGCTACTGATTTCCCTGGTCATTTTCCACCATAGTCTGAATTTTAAGCAATTCACTTTTTATCTATCACCACCTAGCTTTTCCATTTACTTTCTCTAATACTTCAGTTCAGTTGTTCTTTGACTTCTTGTCTTTGATTCTAACACTGTCCCTCCACTTCTCATGTCCTTACTACATTCTTCCTTTGGGTTAGATTCCATGGTCCAGCAGGATGCTGACACCTTTGCATACACTCTGAGCCCCTTGCCTTTCTTTTTGTCACTCTCCCTTGACAAAAACCCAGCTTTGATAAATCCAGCTTTCCATCTACTTCGTGCTTACACATGAATAGTGGAATCTGCCCATGAACAACATCCACCTACACTGAGTGGACTCACTTTAAATTCAAGACCGAAAGTTTCAAGTGTCCTCTCAGAGCTAATGGCAGTTCTAAGTTTATTTTCTTACCTTCTTACTCTGCAGAGGACCATTTTACCCCTTCTTTTCTCTCCCCAAATATCCAATACCCTTCTCCCATCCCTCAGCTGACCTTGGTTCTTTGCTGTGAAAATAGAAGCTATCAGAAAAGAATTTTTGGTGCAATTTCAATGCCTCCAGCACTGAAGTGTCCCAGGCTCAGCTCTCAGATCTCTGCTCTAGGGACTTGCACTCGCTGAATACTCTCATCCAGCTCCTTGGCTCTAACTTCAAAATACATCCAGAATGAATAGTTCTCATCCCTTTTGTAGCTACTACCATGGTCCAAGCTACAGTTTCCTACTGCCTGGACTTCTTCAGAGGAGCTCTGGTGGTGTGGTGCCTAAGGCATTTCACTGCCAACCAGAGGGCTGGCAGTTCAAACCCACCAGCCACTCCTTGGAAGGAAGATTAGGCGATCTACTTCTGTAGTGATATCATCTCAGAAACCCAAGGAGGGGTCACTATGAGTCAAATCTGACTCGATGGTAGTGAGTTTGGATCATGGTTTACTCCCTCACTTCTTTCAGGTCTCTCCCTGCTTGTCACCTTCTGGGGGAATACCCCAGTAACGATCTCTGACTCTTGGCCCCTCATCCTTACTGTAATACCACTTGATATACATGTCGGTCAGTATTTGTTCTGTTCTTTCCTTACACTGGAATGTGAGTTCCGTGTAGTGAATCTTTGCTTGTATTGTGCTCTGAACCCAAGAGCAGTATCCAACATATACTAAACATTCAATAAGTGTACATTGAATGTATGCATATATGCTTTTATGCTCAGGATTGGTGTAGTTAACAAGGTTGAGTGCCCCCAACCCCCACCACACATACTCTTGCTGTTGGACTTTTATTGTGATTCCTTATCAGGTGCCTTTTTTGGCCTTAGCATAGCACGCAGCACACAAAGACTTCATGTTGTGGAATCTTGCAGTACCTAATAGTTCTGGTTATGAACTCCTGTTGGAGAATGTAGTTGCCATAAAAGGAATAGGGGATTGAACTAAATGTATAAGGGCATGAGCCCTTTTTAAATGAACTTCGTCACTGTCAACTACTTGTATTAAATTCTTATAAGGTGAGAGCAGTAAAAATTCTGGTGACTTGGAAGTTCCAGTTCACTAGTTATAATAAATCATAATTTGAGTGACTCAAATTAGATAAATAGTCTTAAATATGAGTTATGTACGTTAGTTTTTGCTTAAATTTTATTTTTAAATGTTTAAATATTTTTGGAAAGCAATTTTTCTTCTAATTACCCTAGAAATGAATTTTTTGAGTATCTTAATATATATCTGTAAGACATTATGATTTGTAAATATCATGAAATTATAAAATTGACCATTTTTGTTATTTTCCCAATTCATTCATATTTTTCAAGAATAAGGAACGTTACTCAGTTCTCTTCAATTTAAAGAATGAAAACGGAAGTCTGTTAACACTTCTGTTTTGGTTATTGAGAGGCAGTGATCAGAAAGGAGTAATAGAATGAACACTTCTGATATTCTGCTCTTTCTCTGCCCAGGTTATAAGCTCAGTGGATTATCTCTTATCAAAACAAATCTCAGAACTATTTTTAATTATTGATGGTGAAAGAATTAAAGTATAATATCTGCCAGTGACTGTTAAAAACTAATTGTCATTGAGTCCATATTCGATAGGACAGAGTAGAAGTACCCCACAGGGTTTCTAAGGCTGTAAGTCTTTATCAAAGCGGGATGCCACATCTGTCTCCCAAGGAGTGGCTGGTGGGTTCAAACCACTGACCTTTCAGTTAGCAGCCGAGCACTTAACCACTGCATTCCATCCAGTGACTATTCAAAGGTGGCATTTACCATTTCCTACGTTTCATTAATCTGTTCTTCCAGTCATAGAAGTACAAACCAATAAATAAATAAATCAATAAAAAGCCCAAACCCACTGCCATCAAGTCGATTCCAACTCATAGTGACCTTCATTGGGTTTCCAAGGCAGTAAATCTTTATGGAAGTTGATTGCCCAGTCTTCCTTCTGCGGAGTGACTGGTGGGTTTGAACTGCCAACCTTCTGGTTAGCAGTCAGATTCCTTAGGCACTGCACCACCAGAGCTCCTTTCCATAGAAATAGTACCTTATGTATATCAATTAAAATCCCTGAATGGTGCTAATGACTGATCAGTCAGCTGCTAATAAGAGGTTGAAGGTGTTCCGTCCACTCAGAGGCTACTTGAAAGAAAGATCTGATGGTCTACTCCTGAAAAATCAGCCACTGAAAACCCTATGGAACATAGTTTTATTCTGCATGCCCTGAGTCAGAATTGTTTCAACAGCAGCTAGTAAGTTAGTTATGTTACATACAGTTCAGCAGCCAAATCCTCTGGCACTTGTGTAGCCTCAGAATGTTGCTTCAGGGAAATCCCCACAGCTTCAGGTCCTACATGAGGAGCGCCTGTCTGCTTTCTTTCCAGGAAATGTGTGGTTTTCCTAAAGCCTCTTAAGGGCTGATTTGATTAGAATAGGGACTTCTCTGGTATTGGAAATGGGAGCTGGTTATTATATTCAGATATATACTCATGCCTTTTTTTTTTTGTCTTTGTTTCCTCTTCAGGCCTCGATTAGGAACAGTAATGCACCGTGTGATTGGCCTAGGGATTCTTTATTTTATTTTCGCAGCTATTGAAGGCGTGATGAGAGTCATTGGGGTAAAAACAACATAATTCCTCTACCACCTTCTCTTACTGTTGCTGTGAAGTGTGATTTTACTTTACATATCCCGAGATGAAGTTTTAAAGGTAGAAAATTTATGGAAAAGGCCCAGTTTGAACTTCATCCTATGGATTATTTCCCTTTTAAAAATACTTCCTTAAAAGAAAAGACTACATAGAGCATTTCTTAAAAAGATACCATTATAAAGACACAAGATGTCGTCTCAGGAATAGCTCTATCCCAGAAATCTTCATGGTGGTTCTTTAGAAAGAATGTTTCATCTGTCACTGTGCGGTTTATACACATTAATATCTTCCTTCACCCTTGTTATAAAAATGTACAAAGTGAATGGGAAGTTAATTATGCCCTTCAAGCATACAAACATTACATTTCATCGCTCTTAAGTTTCATTTGGTTGTAAGTTTTGTCTGTCTCTTGGGGATTCATTGATTTGAGGATTTAGTATACCTACTGTAGGAAGAATGAGAAAGAAGTTTTCAGGGAGAAAAATGGTCATATGGCAGTAATTCTCTACTCTGTAGTGAGTGTTAGAATACTTATATCTGGGGAAGACACCTGGCTTTCTAGCTTTCTTAATAAATTGTTGAATATTAAGTGATGAAGAAACTTACTATATTTTACCTCGTTCAAAGAACCTTGTAATTTTTACCCAAAATGTCTGTCTTTTAGATTTAGATGTATATATCAGACCACTGTGCAGTTAGTGGCTCATCTGCATATTGCCACATAAGTTTACATCATATCTTTCAATCTGTCCCTTAAAGCTGGACATTTGGTCAGTGATGTTAAAAAGCCTCGTTCTTCTTCCTGTTTATTATCTTTGATTCATCTGTGTTCTGTGTTAAATATACCTGCTCTTTTAATCTTTAAGTATATTTATTTTCATTTTTACATAATGAAATATATTATTCATAGGAAATTAATCTTTGCTTGAAAGGAAATAGAAAAAGTAAATAAAATTGTCAACTCTTGATTACTCCCAGAATGTCTAATCTATGTTTTTGTTTCCATATAGTTCCCTTATTTGACTTTTTTATCCAGGTTCTTTTGTACACAGTAGGAAAGAGCAAGAGTCCATTTGATTACCTATTAGTAGCTCTGGGTATATGTTTTGTGTGGAATGGGGAGAGAGTGAAATGGTTGACTTACATGAGGTTGGGAACATGATGCTTTTTATTAGCCTGTCCATAATATAACCTTATTTTACTGTCATCAAATAAGTTGATGACAAGTTAACACTTGATGCTGCCAAAACAGTTAATTCTTAGGAAATAGAAATCTTTTATGTAGCTTTTATAAAATTTGATAAGTAAGTTGTTTTTCCTTATCAGATGATAATTGGTATAATACAGTTTCTGCATTCAGTTTTTGTTTTGTTTGTTTTTCTTTTTCTGTTTCAGGGTTCTAACCATTTAGGTGTTGTTTTGAGTGACATTATTTTAGCAGTTATTGACTCCATTTTTGTATGGTTCATATCCTTTACTACGTCTTTCTGAAAAGTTTGTTGTTTCATAAAAAACTTATTGTTTTTAATTTGTAAAAACAATAGAATATTGTTACATCATTATCATTATCATTGCTTTAATATAGGAATTTAGTTCAAGGAGAAAAAGTAGCAACTCTTAAAACCTCGAACATGGAGTATTTTTATTTTTTCTATTTAGTTCTGCAAACACTTAAGCCTTAGTGTGTATTCTGTGCTGAGGAGATGTGGATGAAAAAGATATTGTCCCTGCATTTAAGGAACTAACAATCTGATAGAGGGAACAGATGCATAACTAGAAGTAATACAGCAATAGTAATTGCCATTTTAGAGGGATACTACATTAGCAGAGGGAAGAGAGAAATTAATTCTGACCTAAAAAATCAGGAAAGACTTCACAGAGATGATGACATTTAAATTGAGACTGAGAAGACAAATCGGAGTGTACTTGGCAGAGAACTGGGGAAAGGCCATTCTGGTAAGAAATGAGAAGAACAGCTGAAAGCATGAGGATGTAGGGACAAAGGCAGACTGCCCCAGGATAGCTGGTCTGTGGGAGAATCATGGAAAGTAGTGCCAGAAGAGAAAGACAAAATGCCACCTTCCTTCTGAAGGCAAGAAGTAGAAAAGAATTGATACTGAGCCAATGAGCAGCGTGATGAAAGCTGTCTTAGAAAGAATGCAGGGATGACAGAATGATGTGTAAAGAGAAGCTAGAGGCAAGGAGTCTAGTAAGGAGTCATTTGCAGTGGTCCAAAGGAGAGATGCTGAAAAATCAGAAGTAAAGTAGGGGAAATGTGAAAGACTCCAAATGATAGACTTGATAGAACTGGGTGACTAAAGAAGGAACAAAAGGCTCTAGAGAGGTCTTTGCATGTCTCATTTGGGTGACTGGGGGGCAGTCTTGCCTTCCTTAAATTGGGAAGTGTAGGAGGGGCCATGAAGGATGAGGTTTGAACTGCCTAGGGCATGAGTATGAAGAAGAGAGTTGGAAATTCAAGCCTGGGTTTGGGAGAGGTATCAGAAGTGACAATGGAAGTCCATTTTGTGTGGGAGAAGGTTATGGCTATGGATGGTGTTGCAAGGAGAACATGTAGATCATCAGGAAAGAAGAGCCAGGATGGTGGGTAGGAGGAGGGAAAGGTACATGGAAGGAGAGCTAGGGGATTGTCACAAGGTAGAGACTGAGGGAGAGCTTTGGTAAGGAGGGATGGTCATGGTGACCAGTGCTGCACACCCAACTGTGGTCATTCTAGGGTCGGAACGGGACAGCAGTAGTAGAACAACTTCAGTGAAAGGGGTTGGGGGGAAGCCACATTATGTAAGAGGAAACAGTAAGTAGTAGAAGTTTTAGTCAATGTTAACTGGATCTTCACTGATTCAGTGCCTCAAGTTGAGGCTAGAGAATTCCCATTGTATTTTCCTCTGCCACCAGCTCTCTGATTTGTACTGGAGGAAATCTAGAGAAAATGCTCATGATCTGGTCAGAGCAGAATGCAAGCTTATGCACATCCCCAGAACAAATTGTTTTTATCTGTTTCTTCTATATTTATGTGCTTCTCCTTGAAATTCTTCCCTATAGATTTCCTTTTTATCAAGTTGTTTTCTGTTTTCACTGTCTTTGGTATTTATGTCTTTTAGCTTTTATTATTTTCCTTGTAATTCTTTCCATTTTCTCATCTATGTGTCTCACAGGAAAGGCCAAACCAAGAAAAAGTCAAACCCAGTGCCGTTGAGTCAATTCCAACTTATACCAACCCCTATAGGACAGAATAGAACTGCCCCATAGGCTTTCAAGGCTGCAGTAATCTTTACTGAATGAGATTGCCTCATCTTTCTTCTGAGGAGTAGCTGGAGGGTTCAGTTTGCAGCTGAGCACTTAACCACAGCATCACCAGGACTCCACATTCTGAGCCCCTTAAGTGTTTTTTCCCCCCAAGCCCAGTCTTATCTAGTCTTTACATTCCATATTTTTGAATTCTCAGTATATTTTTGGAGTTGTTATTCATACTATCTAAAGCAGTAATTCTTAACTTTTTTGGGGTACAGGATCAGTAATGCCTTTGAAAATCTAATGAGAGCTTTGGAGGTACTCTCCGTGAAACACAAGCACATGTACCCACACAGGGATTTTGCATATAACAGGGCATTTATATGCAAAATCCTAAATTATATCCAAGGATATCTTAAGCGTCTATGGATCCTAGTTAGGAAATACCACCTGATTAGGAAAGTTTCTTATTTGTTTAAAAATCACCATCTACTTCTGTTCATTTTAGAGTCCAAGTTCATTGAATAAAAGTTTATTCAATAAAATTACAGTTAAATCTGATCATACAGTGATATAAATATCTTGCTGTAGTGTAGTTTTTCATATTTTCTATATTTAAAGGAATTTTGTTTCTAAAAGTTAACTTCTATTTCTTAGTCTGCATATGAATAGCATTCTAGCTATGTTCTTGTTATGTGCCATCAAGTTGGACCCAACTCATAGTGACCCCTCCTTGGGTTTCTGAGGCAGTATCACTATGGAAGTAGATTGTCCAACCTTCCTTCTGAGGAGTGGCTGGTGGATTTGAACCGCCAGCCTTCTGGTTAGCAGTTAAGTGCCTTAGGCACTATGCCACCAGAGTGCCATTCTAGCTATAACAGGACTCATCCCCAAAGGTCGTACAGCCTGCTGTGCTGTAGCAGCATGGCCAATCAGGTAAGCAGTGCTAACCTGCTTTGGAAATGGGAAAGAAGGTTAAATATAGTAGACTTGTCAAAGGCAAATTGCAGTGGGGACGAGCTTAGCTATTGGTCTCAGCATTACTATCACTGGGCCTTAATATACATTGTCTTATTTCTAAAATTGTTTATGCTTTGGGCTTCTAGCAAGTTAAGAAGTCTGTTCTTCAGTTAATTGAGCAGTGGACTCTAAATTTTTTGCAAATTTGTCTTTTCTGATAATTTACAGTTCTGTATTTCCAAGATTTAAGGTAGTTCTCTGGAAAAAACAGCCAGTAACTTATAAGAAAATTCCAAAGAAAAGTGACTCTACTGACTATAATTCCATCTGGATTGGAATGAGGATAACTTCCACTTTTGTGGACAGCATTGACTTTGATCCATTTTAATACATAATGTACCAGATTGGGAAAGCAGTCATAAGGAAATCCAGATATTAAAATTATCTTGGTTAGTGATTAATGGCAAGAGACAGGAAATCTCGTAGCTATTTCTGCCTAAACCTGAATTTTTAAAGTTTGCTTTCAGATTGCAGTTTGGTAATTTTCAATACTGAGGTGACACATTTGCTTTCCTTGTACAAAAAGATAGTGGATTTCCTAAGTGTTTGTAAATAACAAGCAAAAGAAACAGAACTTCTAGATACATACAGAATTGAGTGGTTTGGAATATAACCCTGCTTTTGTTGACATTGATGAACATTACAAGTGATTTTAAAGTAATAGAAAGGAATTAGCCTAAACAGTTCAAGAGCTGTAGCCTTTTTCATATAGGCCCCTCCTATTTTTGCTTCTTTATCTTTTGTTATTTTGCTGCAGGCGAAAGATTCTGATCTTGTTCTTCTAGCCAGCCTCCCTCTCTCTCTTCTTGACTCTGGCTTATGCTGGTGGATATCCTTTTCCTGTCAAAGCTGCAAATTCAAGTTGATTTTTCACTTGAGGATTTTGAGGTCTATTTGCCTATATTGTTTCTTTTCTTTGATGGAAGAAATAATTCAAAATTTACCTTAATTTAATAGTGGCTTGTTAAATGGAGGCCTAGTCAGATCTGAATTTTATTTTTTTATCTTTTTATTCCTTGACTTTTAAAAAAATCTTTTTTAATTATTAAATAAGATCAGGTTTTAACCTAGATAGTAGGTTTTAGTCAAGAATTTTAATAAAGTATTGGTCTTGATGTGTTTTAGAAATAACAAAAGTATATTTGCCTTTTTGTACATTCTTAAGAATAGTCTTAATTGCTTGGATTCTTTTACAATTTACTGGTCATTTAGAAAGATTTAAAAAGCAGTCTTTGTAAAGTAATTTTAGCACTAAAATGAAGTTTTTGATAAATGACTTATTTAGGATTTAAAATAATAGGCACAAATACAAAGTTTGCTACTTCACTTCTTTTGCTCAGCTCTGCTTTTTTGGAACATTTATCAGAAAAGAAGTAGATTCATGTGGCCAGTGTTTATTTCGTAAGTAAAGTGTGTTGGTGTGTTCCGAGAGGAAGAACAGATCTGACGAATCCATCATCATTGCTGTGGTGTCTGTGAAAGAGTCTCTTTTTCCTTCTTCATACTCAGCAGTGTTGATCTTTACCTGAGTCCTGCATTTCTGGGAACAGTGACGATCAAGAAATACTCCACCACACACCTTTTTATGTCCTGGCAAAGGTTTACTGCAAAGAACCACCCTTCCCTGTATGAGTTAGATATGACTTACAAATAACTCCTTGTTACTGTGACAAGGCCAGAAACCAGCCCTCCAAATTCCCATTCTTCGCTTCATAAATGATTAGCTAAACTGTTTTATACCTTGATTGGTCTAGACAAAACACGTGGCTGGACCAGAGTTTCCTAAAGCACTCTCCTTCCTGTAGGTCCCTGCATTTTGATTCAGCCTCAGCCTCAGCCAACCACCCTTCAACCTTTCCTTTATGCCCCCTCCTGAACACTGGCTGACTCAAGGGAAGATAGTCCTTGATCAGCTGTCCAGTCAAACCATCCACTCCCCCACATCTTAGTTCTTTCCTTGTTAACTCCTCCTTATAAAGGAAAAGCCCTTTTCTGTCTGACCTTTGAGAGCTTGCAGATCTTATGGTTGGAGCATTCTCCCTATTGCAGTAGTCCGTTTGAATAAAGTCTCTCCTTATCTAGGTCCAGATTTGTTGTGACATATTTCAGTGTTTTAATTTAGAAATTGGTAGCTGACCTAATTTATTGATTTTGATCATTAGGAGGATAAAACAGTGATAGATTAGAATGAAGAAACAGAGAGAAAAGCACAAGCCAAATGGCATGTTACAGTGTGATCTGGAAAGTGTGTCTGATCCAAGGGGACTCAACTTTTAGCAGGTGCATTGCTCTTTCTGTGCTACAGGTGTGTGGCCTTGAAGGAGCACAGCACAAGTCTTCTTGCTTGCATTTCTTTCCCTAATGTTTGTTGACTTAGTTCATATGATAGTAAGTTGTAAAGCAGAATCTATAATAAAGTCAGTGTTGTGGTTTACAGTGTTAGCTAAGATAACATAATTCTGTGTTTTTATTAGCTTCAAATTTTCAGAACTATCTAGTAGTACTAACTTTGGAAATACTATAGAAAATTCTTTTTTTTTTTTTTAATCTTAACTGTTTATTACTATTTAAAATGTTTTTCCTTAACTTTTATCACATTTTCATAAGTTTGGCACAAACTGTGAAGACTTTAAGGTTAAGAAAGAACACAGTGAAATTTTCTTTATACAGGCACTTTACAAATACTCTCATCTTTGCTGTACTGGGTAAGCTATTTAATTTTTCATATCAAAATAAATTATTTTAATGTTTCATGTTCTTTCAAAGGTGATTTTTGTGTTTCAGCTTCTGTAGTGTTTATGATATGGACAACTAAGACATTTAGAATTGCAAAATGCCAGTCAGTAAGTATAACCTTTCTACTTAAACAGTTTTCGTTTTTAAATGTACAATTTTTATTTTGTGTAATTTTGAGAAATTTACTTTGTATTTGTAAATAGACATAATTCTACTGGAAATTTTCTGTTTACTTTGAACTGTTTTGTATAGAATTATGAAATCTTCTGCCTCTTCTAAATGAATCTGAAAAGTTTCTCCTAAATATTCTTTTCCTGTTATGCCTTTTTCTTAACTTCTCTTTATATGCTTGAAAGAGAATTCTCTCCTTGCATAATTTAAGGGTAACAGGAAATCTTTTTCTTATTTTTCTTTCCGCATACCATGAAATCAGGTCATTTTCTAACTGCCCCTGGTCAATGAGACAGTAAATGTAAGTTTGACATGTTTCTGGGAAGGTATACTCATTATGGACATTCAGGCTCTATATTTGATGGGTTTTCTAGTCAGATGAAGATGCATTCCTTAGACTTGGAATATAAAAGTCCCCTTCTGAGTTTTTTGGAAATTTAAAGCTAGTCCCTAATTCCGTATAAACAATTCCAAAGAGTCCTTTGAAAATCCTGGGCTTCTTTCTACTGCCTTATTTACAGTTTAAAGGTAGAAAAGGTGGAACCTTCCAGAATTTTTTTTTCTCCTCTCCCCAACTTAGTATTTTTCACTTAAAGTTCTAAATTTTGTTTTGTTTTCAGTATCTTTAACTCAACCCTAAAATTTTATGAAGGCAATGTATATAATGTAAACAGTGCTTTAGAAACATTTTCAAAACATATATAATACAGTTTCCTATCCTAAAAACAAAATAATCTATTGGAAAAATATTAGCATTGCTTTTTACGTAAGAATCTAATGTCAGTGAGTGATCAATGTCAAAATACTCACTGTCAGCTTGGTTCTAATTCTCCTATTAACCTACCTCATGACTTTGAGCAAATTCATTAATCTTTTAAGCCTTACTTTCTCGCCTGGAACATGGAGATTAAAGTACTTGCAAAGCCCATTTAAACTTTAATTCTCTAATTCTTTGTATGATAATACATAGTTTTATGTTAGGATATTATTCACCTGATTTATTATGAGACTGAAGGAGGCATGACTTTTGGTTTTATAGAGATACAATATATTTTGAGTGAATTATTTGAAATGTCTTAGTTTTCATATTAAAAAAATATGTGGTTGGTTATTCAGGAGACTTGCCAGTAGGAAAGATTTTATTAATACTTATTGTATACTATTTGAGGAGGAAATATGTATTTAGCAGAAAATTAATGTTTTATTTTTAAATTGTCCTTTTTATAGGATTGGATGGAACGCTGGGTTGATGATGCATTTTGGAGCTTCCTTTTTTCACTTATCCTCATTGTAATAATGTTTTTGTGGAGACCATCAGCAAATAATCAGAGGTACTTAATGTAGGAAAATTCCATTTGGCAAGAATTTGTTGATCACCTGCTACTGTGTCAAAGACACATTTGAGAAACTATTGAGAAGTAGTCTTTGCTTTTAAGGAATGTATAGTCAAATAAGGAGACAAAAATAACAAATGCAAGCTAGTGAAATAGATTTTTAAACTAACTCTAGCAGGAAGATAGATGAGGAATGAAAGAAGGACTGTTTCTGTCAGAGGTTGAGGAGGAAGGTAGGACAGTGAAAAATTGAGATGGAAAAGAATGTGCATTTTCTGGGGTAGCAGGTAAAGACATGATATGCTTTGGAGCTCAGCAAGACATGCAGTTTGGTTAAAACTAATACTGGAAGGAGATGAAGCTGGAAAGGAAGGGTGGGTCCAAGATGGTAAAACACTTGAATGCTGAGTTCAGAAAGTGGTACTTTAGACTGCATGTAATGGGGTGCTCCGTCTTCTCTTGCCACATCCTTCTTCCCAAGGGAATGTGCTGTTACATTTATTATAATACCTCTGGGAAGAAATGAAAAAGTATATATACTTTTCCTTTTAAAAATTATACATTAATAATAATACATATATACATACTGTTCTGTTTAAAATGTATCTTTGAATATCATCATGTTCAGATCTACCATATTACTTTTAATGGCTATATGGTATGCCATCATATGAATGTACAGTCAGTTCTCATTATTTGCGACAGTCATATTCTATAAAGTCATTGCAAATGCTGAATTAGCAAATACTGAACTATTGTTCTTAGGGAATATTCAGGGTTAGTTTCCTTTGAGATTGTTCACAACAGTTCATCAGCTGATCAATATATAACTTTGTTTTATGTGTGCTTCTGTTAAAGACGCCTTATTTGATATATATTGTTAAGTCACTAGCACTGAACTCATGGCCAAAAATGCTATACCTGAACAAAGCTTAATGTATTTTTTTCTCCATAAGACACATCACAGCCCTCTTGCACTTAGAAACACTAGACAGCACTCCAACACTATACTTGGGGACGATTTTAAACAGTGAAATCACTAACAAAAACACAAAATAGTGGCACTGACTAGACTATGTGGAACTAAATAGACCACGATAAGGATACTTCTTTACAGTATGAGGTGTGAAACAAAAAGAGCATTACCTTGTTCAACTTGTTGGCTGGGATATTGTGCACATTGGGTGACTCAAATTTTTTGCCATTCTACATAAGTCACTCAAGTTCCATGAGTATGGATTTGGAGGATAAAAATAAATTTTAGGAAGTAGACAAATTCCTAAATAAGGAATCTGTCAATAATGAGGATCGGCTGTAGCATAATTTATATAACCAGTTTCTAATTATTAGACAAGTGGCACAACCATCCCGTTATATACTCAGCTGCTAGCTGAAAGGGTGGTGGGTCGAACTCATCCAGAGGTGCCTTGGGAGACAGGCTTGGCTGTCTGCATCCAGAAGGTCATAGCCTTAAAAACTCTATGGAGCAGATCTACTTTGCACATGTGGGATCGCCATGAATCAAAATCAATTTGACAGCAACTAACGACAATTATTAGACATTTGTTTCTAGATTTTTGCTATTATTAACAGTGCTTTTTGAATGCTGTTAGTGTAATGTAAGGTAAATACATCTTTACTAAATAGCGTCAAAAGTCCTTTCAGAAAGGTGGTGTCTGTTTATACTCGATCAACAGTATATCTGAGAAGAAGCTATGTTACTTTATTACCTAGTGAATACAGGTCAATCAGTGTGCCATCCCCCCATATTAGCAACTTCTTCGTAATTAGAGGGTGAGGTATAAAGTGATGGGCAGGGAGATAAACCTGATATGGCGAAAAATTGCAGCAGAAAGTCCCTTTCTGCCAACATTACGTATTTCAAAATTCCTTTCCAGAAAGGCTTTTTCCATTTACACTTCTACCAACAGAGTATGAGAGCTCCAGTTTCACAATTTCCTTATAATTTGCTAATTTGAGAGTGAAAAATTTGAATTTTCATTTTTTAATTCATAAAAATCTTTTAAAATACAGATTTCCTTTACATAATGATTGTTTTAGATGTATTTCATCTGAAAATTGAACCAATTTAGACATGCTAATAAAATTGCTCCTTGTTTTTTACATAGATATGCATTTATGCCTTTAATAGATGATTCTGATGATGAAGTTGAGGAATTCATGGTAACATCTGAAAATTTAAGTGAGTGATACATTTTGTTTTTAGTGACCATTTTACATATAGTAACAGAGAAATATTGTTCCTTTGTTTATGATACAAGGTCACATGTACCGTTTGTTTTCTCCCTACAAAATAGTCTGAAACCTCTAGTATGATATAGAATCACAAACAAAAAGCCAGTGATGACATTTTCAAGATTGTTAATATAGTTTAAGCAGTTGTTACTTGTTTACTCTTAAAGTTTAAGTGTGAAAAGTCCATAGTCTATCCAGTCAACAAAAATTACAACATAAGCACTATATCTTCAGTGACTGTCCCTCTTTATTTTTAGCTCCTCTCATCTTACCTCTCACCTTGTATGCTGTCCTGACTCTACTGTTAAGAAAGGATATGAAAAAAACTTAGAACTAAGCTATTAAAATTCAGTATGGTGGGGTTCTGACTTCCAGTAATGATTGAGTCAGTTGTATTGAATTGACCTTCCTGCTGATAATATTATAAACTTTGGGAAAAATACATATTTTTTTAAAAAAAGCAAACATACAACCATTTGAAGACTTTGGGAAGCAACAAAAAGTAGGCAGAAACTGGAGGATATTGATTTGGATGTATTTAATTATTGATTATTGATTATTGAAAAAAGGAACCAGACTCTTATTAATAAGTTGCACATTTACAAGTCTTTTTCTTGAGAGTACTCCCAGTCAATGTGATGGTACAAAGGCTAGAATGCAAGTATATAGATCCAGCCTTACTGATGTGTGAGGAGCTAGAAGATAGAGTTTGGGGCTACATGAATGCCTGGAAAATGAGGGGAGGAATTACAGAAAGAAGAAGCCACAAAGGGGAAATGCCAAAGTCTATAAAGTTTCTCAAATTAGCTGATCCCTGAACTGGACATGTGCAAAGTTAGACTTCAGGAGGCCAGGAGGAAAACAACAGCTGTTAGGCTAAAAAGCTGAACAGAGGTTTTAGCATCTGTAAGGGTGATAGTTTGAAATTTGAGTCTTAGCAAATATAAAAGGTTTGGATAAAAGTTTAAAAGGCTTTCCATTGAAACCCCAGAATGCTCACTTCTTAGATGTAGGACCACAGTCCAGGATCTACCCTGGGACTAAAGCTAAAATGATGTAGATCCACTCTAGTAACACCTAAAACCAAGCCCCCAAAAGGTGAAGGTGATCTGGAAGTAACTTAAATCCCTACTAGAATAAAAGTCAACACTCTTCTGATGAAGATAAGAGAATCCAAAGTATCAATGTTCAGTATATGATAATAACTTACTGGACATGGGAGGAAAGGAAACTGAACCATTGTTATTGGAAAAACCAATCAATAGAAACAGGCCTAGAGGTTACCAAAATGTTACAGTTAGCAAGAGTATTTTTAAAATAATTGTTATAAGTATATTGAAGAATCTATAAGAAAATGCAAGCAGAGAGATGGGGAATGTCAGAGGAGAGATGGAAATGGTTAAAAAAAGAAGAAGAAGAAGAAGAAGAAGAAGAAGAAGAAGAACCAAATAGATTAAAACTGAAAAAATAGAATATCAGAAATAATTCACTGGATTAACAGATTGGTAGACTGGATACAACAGAATAAAAGTAAGTGAACTTTTGAAGACAGATTAAAAGAAATTCTGCAAACTGAAATGTAGAGACAAAAGATTGGGAACAAAGTGATCATAACTTCAGTGACCTGTGTGACACTGTTAAATAGTCTAAAATATGTATAATTGAACTCCAGAAGGAGATGAGAGAAAGAACAGGCATAAAAATATTTGAAAAAATACTGGCCAAAGATTTTCCAAAATTGATCAATCGGAATCCAATGGATCAAGGAAGTTTAGTGAACCCCAAACAAGATAAATAGAAAGAAAAAGCATACTTGGGCATCATAGGTAGATAAAGATAAAGGAAAACTGTAAAACCAAAGATGAAGGAAAATTGTAAAAGCTGCCAGAGAAAGGTAACATTATTTTCAGAAGCCCAAAATAGAAATGACAAACAACTTTTCAGGAGTAGAGTCCAAAAGTTCTAAATTAGAAATAACCCAGATGTCCATGAACAGGTGAATTAATAGATTATGAAATATCCACATGAAGGATCACTACTCAATAATAAAAAGTGACAACTCTCCAACACTAATAAATCTCAAAAACTTTTGCGTGAAGGCAGCCAAATCTGAAAGAATGTAGAGTTCATAAACATTCCGTTGATGGCAACTAACAACCAAACAGGCAAAAACTTAAGTATAATGATTATATAAATCAGAACAGTGGTTCCTTTTGGTTGGTTGGGGATTGCCTGGAAAGGAAGTTCAGCAACCTTCTGTGGTAATGGAAATGTTAAAATATCTTGATTGAGGTGGTACTTACACAAGTGTGTATGTTTGTCAAATCTCTTTGGACTACACTCTTAAAATTTGAGTGATACCTCAACTTTTAAAAATCTATGAGATAGACACTATTATAATCCTCAATATTTAGTTTGAGACACTTAGTCATAGAAAGTTAAATGATTTGCCCAAGGTCATGTAGTAGAGCCAGAATTCCAAGTAAGGTAGTCCAGCTCCCTGCTTTATTTAAACTGCCAAGATAAAGGAGAGTGTTGGTCAAATATGAAGAAAATCTTTTTCCCCCATCTTATAAATACACCCAGTCTTCCTTCTGAGAAAGATTGGGCAATCTACTTCTGTAGAGACACTGCCTTGGAAACCCAAGGAGAGGTCGCTGTGAGCTGGATCAACTCAAGAGCAATGAGTTTAAGAGTTACTGTGTAAATAAGATCCAGTTATTTATTCATCAGGGAAGGTAAGGCATAGCCTAAGATATGTTTTATTCTTGAATATGATATTTTGAATTCCATGGATTTTTTTTAACCCATAAACATGAAAAATTATTGAAATTTATCTGAGGAAATATATGAGCACATGTTTGTATATATGTATATTTGTTGGTTTAAACTCTTCTAAAATTAGATTTCAAATTAGCAACTTGGGTATTGTGAAAATCTGTTAACTTTTTCCATACCTCTTTCCTGCATTTCCAAATGCTGTAGTGAAACCAGCACTCTGCCCCAATTTCCCCCCATTAACTCCCCTTTAAAAAAGAATATATTTCCTAATTGGATTATTGAAGGTAAGGTTATACAGAAAAACACTGTATAATTTTATACCTGTAATGTTTCTTACTACAGCTGAAGGCATAAAATTAAGAGCCTCTAAAACGGTTTCCAATGGAACAGCAAAACCTGCCACTTCTGATAACTTTGTGAGTATAGCTTATATGAGTGTAATATTCATTGGCTATCAGAATATTTTTCACTAAGGCTTGTTTCTTTTTTGGCATGAAAATGTGTTTCCAAGTGGCAATATTAGTTACATACCAGACCTGAAATATCTTTGTTCTAGATCCGCACTTCTCAAGTACTGCTCTTGAAGCAGAGCTTGAGAATCACCTGGCAACTTGTTAGAAATGCAGAACCTCAGGTCTGCCCCTGGTCTCCTGAACCTGCATGTGCTTTCTAACAAGATTCCGTGGGCAGCTCCTATGTACATTAAAGATCGAGAAACTTGGTGACAGCGAAAGCTTGTGCTAACTTTTAAAAATCTTAACACTGATTTTAGAAGTCATTTTATACAACATCTGTTCATTGTTAGGAAAAGGACTTTATGTGTTACTTGCGCAATTACCAAAATTAGCCTAGGTACTTTTTTTTTAATGATGGAAAGCTTAAATAAAATGGTAAAATAGAGAATACAGATGAATTTTTAAATGTTTCATACATTAAATGTGATCATTATGAAGAGAATGAAACAAAACTGAAATGTCTATTATATAGTTTTATATTTTGCTTCCTTACAATTATCTATGCTATGATTATCAATATGTAAAAATTTATGTATGCACATTTCTGATAGGACAGATGATATATTGAAGAGTTTTGTCTGTTGGATTTGGTAAATTCTCTAATTTTGATTTTTGGTAATGTAATCTTTAAAATGTGTTTTTTATTAGTTTTATGGTAATTCAACTGATTTTTTTAATATTACAATGTTTTAATTATCTGGTGTTAAAAGTTACTAGACTTTAAATTTGTTAAGGTATTTCCCTTTTATTTTAGGGATTAGTTTAAAGCTTATTATTTGCAAACACATCAAGAGAATACTTAATTTCTCTAAGTGCAATCAATTCTTGATCAGAAATTGGGGACCTGAGATCTACTCAGAGAATCAGGGCTCCTATTAATATTTGCTCAGTCACTTTCTCTCTCACTCATGTAAGCAAAATATAATTAATATTAGAACCACATAGGGCATTTCATGTAGTTAAGTAGACCACAAAGAAAAGTTTTGACTTATTTTGCATGTAAATGAAAATATTTGGTATAACTTTTCTTCCCCCTTGTCCAGGTGAGATCACTATAAGCAAGTTTCTATTAAAAAAGAAATAAAACACAGCTGGCTTGCTCTCCTTTTCTTTTCTCCTTCAGATAGAAGAGCATAATTGCAAGTGATACAAATTCATAGGCTTTTCCAATGTTAGAATTTTTTATGCCATTATCCTGAGATTGCATCCCTGTTGAAAAATTACAGACTCGTGATATAAAAACTTGTTGTTAGTTACCTTTGAGTTGGCTCCTATTCATAAGGATCCTATGTACGCAAGAATGAAACTAGAAGGCATAGTGCTTAGTGCAAATCAGTAGTCTTACTAATTCCTATCTTATAATCAACCGTATGTATTTTTACTGTGATTCCTTAGGACAAAAACAAAGCAAAACACCTATGCCTCTAACTGAAAACCAAAGAGAAGAGCAGAAATCTGAAATTTAAATATTGGCATAATTTTTTTGTAAATGCCAACTTTTTAGGACATAAGTAGATACTAGAAAGAATGGTACACACTTGAATTTAAGTATTTCAGTTCTACTTAACGTTTTATTTAAAATACTCTGCTTTCAGGTGTTATTAAGCAAATGCTAATATATAAATATTTCTGCAGGATGAAGATTTGAAGTGGGTGGAAGAAAATATCCCCTCGTCCTTCACAGATGTGTAAATATCCTCTATTAAGTTGGAGTCTAATTTAGGCTATAGTTTAAAGAGAAAATTCTCATACTTTGTCATGTGCTTCTCAAACCTCGTATCTCCATATGTTTTTGTAGGCCTCTGTTACAGGAGCTCTGGTGGTTAAAGAATTTTACTGCTAACCAGATGGTCATGATTTGAACCCACCAGCTGCTCCGTGGGAGAAGAAAGATGAGGCAATCTACTTCTGTTAAGATTTACAACCTTGGAAACCCTATGGGGCAGTTTTACTCTGTCCTGTCGTATCACTATGAGTCAGAATCGACTTGATGGCGGTGGATTTGGGTTTTGTTTTTTGTTATTACCAGTGAATGTCTAATTTACTTCTTAGGGAACTGCAAAGGAAACAAAGCCCTGGCTTAGTCTCGCTTTCATCTTTCTTTTTCACTGAATAACAACTATTTTAATACTGGTGACCTATGACCAACTCAAGGGGCCCTGGTGATGCAGTGGTTAGAGTGCTTCTCTGATAACTGAAAGGTCAGAGGTTTGAATCCATTAGTGGCTCCTTGAGAGAAAAGACCTGGCTATCTGCTCTCGTAAAGATTGCAGCCTAGGAAACCCTATAGGGCAGTTCTACTCTGTCTTACAGGGTCTCTGAGTCAGAGTTGACAGCACATAGCGACTGACCAACTCTAGTTTTTTCTGATCTGAGTTATCAGGATCATCTTATTTTGTGTTAACTATTATAGAAAAGCTCAAACATATGTAAAACTTTTTTTAAAAAACTCATAACCAAAATACCATGTGTGGTAGAGAGATTTTGAAGGAAAAACGTGCATAGGAAGCCCCTCTGCAAACTTGGCTATTACGGTTCTTCACTTTGTTCTATATACACAAGAATTCCATGGGTGTTTCCACAGTAGATAACAGAAGAGCCAAGTATGGTAACATTTTATATCTAGTTCCCTTTCCTTACCCCTACCTAATTCTTATTTAGACCATTTCTAGTATGACAGATATCCCTTTTGCATGAAGAATTTCCTTTACATTTCTTACAGTGCAGCCATGTTGGTAACGAATTTCTGATTTTGACTGAAAAAGTATTTCACCTTTTTTTATTTTAAGGTATTTTTGCTAGGTATGGAGTTCTTGGTTGACAGTTTTTTTTTCAATACTTCAAAAAATTGTTACTCCACTGTCTTTTAGCTTGCATAGTTTCTGAAAAAAGTCTACTTTAATTCTTATTTTTGTTCCTTCGTATGTTATATGAGGGTTCCCCCCCCCCCCGGCAACCTGACTTCACTATGGTTATGATGATTCTAGCTGCAAGTGTGAGGAAGAGGGGAGGTTGATATCCATCCTACTTGGGATTTTCTGAGCTGCTCAGATTTATGGTTTGATATTTTTCATTATTTTTTAAAAATTCTTGACCATTGCTTCAGATATTTTTTCTGCCTTATTTTCTCTATTCTCTGGGACACCATTGTGACATGTGTTATGCTTTTGATATTTTTCCATAACTTTGGATGCTTTGTCCTCGTTTTGCTCCCCTAAACTCTCCCACAAAAGACCTAGAGATCTGCTTCCATAAAGATTTGCAGCCTGAAAGACTGTATGGGACAGTGCCACTCTCTCCTATAGTGTTGCTGAGTCGGAATTGATTCAGCAGCACATGACAACAATGGCAAACCCTCTTACATACTTTTCTTCTGTTTATGTTTTGTTTGAGTAATTTCCATTGACCTGTCTTTAGGTTCACTAGTTCTTTTCTTGACTGCATATATGCATATATGCTAATGAGCTCACCAAAAATATTCTTTTTTCATTTCTGGCATTTCCATTTGAGTCTTATAATTTCCATCTCTCTGCTGAAATTTCCTATGTATTCATGTGTTTTGTCCACTTTTTTTATTAGAGCCTTTAATGTATTAAGCATAGTTATTTTAAATTCTCTTATAGTTCAAGCTTTGGATCATATCTGAGATGGTTTGTTAATTGCTTTTTCTCTTTTTTTTTTTT